TGAGTCACCCGTACCAGGAAGTATCTCCCTGTGAAAACAGTGTGTCAGGTTCATGTGACACCAAAAACAATGAAAGTCTCACCTTCTGCTGAAGACTTCAGTAATCCACTCAATACTGCATCGCCTAGAAAGTCTCTGATTCAACTGTGCCACAGCATTCCTTTCTAGGAAAAGCCCTGCAAACTAAGACCGGTGTCAGCTCTAATGCTGGGGGAGGTCATGTGCGGGTCATTCAGCATGTTCGAACTTGGCGTCACGTTTAAGCATGCACCTGTCTGTCACAAGGCGTACCACAGTGTGGTGTTACTATTTTCTAACCAGGGTACCCGAGTGAAAGGAAGCCCTTGAAGGTGCCTGAGTGGTTCCCCAAATTGTCCACAAAGAAAATGACTCAGAGGGAAAGAGGAAGATGTCCTTCACATCTTCCATGTGGCATAGTGGTTTGAATGAGAACGGCCCCCACAGGCTTATACATTTGCATGCTTACCACCCATTTGATGAACTATTTGGAAAGAGTAGGAGCTGTGGCCTTTTAGAGTGGGCATGACTTTGTTGGGGGAATGTGCCAGTGGGGGTGGGGTTTGAGTTTTCAAAAGCCACGCCCAGTCTCTGTCCTTCTCTCTCCCCACTCCTCTCTCTCTCCCTGCCCCCATCTCTCTCATTCTCACTCTCTGCCAGCAGATCAAGATTAGCTCTCAACTACTCCTCCAGCAATGTGCCAGCCTGCATGCTGCCATGGTGATGATGAACTAACTCTTGAAACTGTAAGCAAGCCCCCAATTAAATGCTTTCTCTTCTAGGAGTTACATTGTACATGGCATCTCTTCACAGCAATAGAACTGTGCTTAAGACACCCTTTACCCTTCACACCAAAAGTTGTATAATTCTTCAGGGAGAAGGAAATTGTCTGATGTGGAATTCCCCTCTATATGGCAAGAAGGAGGTGAGGCCACGCCAGATGTTAGACAATAACATGTGTTCAGTTTTCAGAGGACTGAGAACAAACATAAGACCAACCACTTTGCCTTAAATATCACCACATACAGGTGAGTGTTAGCAATGGCAATCACACCTCTTCACCTGATGCCCTGCCATGGGTTCCTGGTTGCTCAGCTAGTTTCCCTTTGTGTGCAGGGTGTGCTCACTTTTTCGACATCCATTCCAACTGCATAGTTAGTTCCACCTCAATGTCCAGTTTGCCAGGGAACTAAAGAGTCTTGAGATTGGAATACCAGAGATTTGAGAGAAGAAAGCCTCGGGAAGGGACTGGGCAATATGGATCCTGAGGAACCTTTTTGTCTCACTCAATCTTGACCCCTGGTACTCCCAACACCACTCTCTCCCCTATTTCCCAAACAGTGCCTTAAGTTCTGCAAATGTGTGTGTGATTCATATCAGTGGGCTTGGCAGTTGGGCAGTGGCTGATGATTGCTGGCTGTCAGCTGTTGTCCCAGAACTACTAGCAGAGCAGCTCTGGGTGTGGCTAGCACGATCACACAGGGAAGACTGCCCTGTCTCTCCTTTTTAATCTATTGTGGTCTACACCGACCCCACTCAGATTTAGCCCTGAATTTTTAGTGACTTAGCAAAATAATATCAAAATGATCTAAAAACCTTCAAGAAAGGCTACTGTCTTAAAAATTGATCTCAAATTATTTCAAAATACAAATCAGAGATAAGAAAATATAAAAAAGTATTAATGATAGATGTTAGTGTCTTCATTAGGATTGCTGTTGCTGTGATGAAACACCATACCTAAAGCAAGAAAAATGTTTTTGGATTTGTTTGTTTGTTTTGTTTTGTTTTTTAGGCTTATGCTTTCATAACATTGTTCATCACTGAAGGAAGTCAAGACAGGAACTCAGGAAGTGCAGGAACCTGGAGACAGGAGCAGAGGCCATGGAGGAATGCTGCTTACTACTTGTTCCTCACTGCTAGCTAGTCTGCTTTCTTCTGCGCCCTCTCCCATCAATTTCTAACTAAGAAAATGCCCTCCAGGCTTGCATACAGCCTGATCTTATGGAGGCATTTTCTCAACTGAGGCTCCCTCCTCTCCAGTGATCCCAGCTTGTGTCAAGGCAACATAAATGGAGCTGGCACATTAACTGAATGTGCCATATTTTCTAATTCAAAGTCTTTGCAGTAGTTTCCAATTTTTTTAGTCTATCATGATTCTCCCTGCAAGTCTTAGAGTCCAATAGGCAAGATTCCGTGTAAAATAAGTACTTCCCAGAGAGGGGGGAAAAAAGGTATTTTGTAGGTTTCTTTTATAATTTTAACATATGTTAAAATGCAAATTTACAACCAAATTAAAGTTTACACTATAATATTAAATAGTTACTTTGGAATTTTATAGTATAACTTTTCACATCTCCCAAAAAATCTTCCATGGGAAACTGAATAACTCACTGCAGATAGCTTTTTCTGGTTGAAGTCAGGTGATTTCTAAAGAATAGATAGACATCCAGTCTTGTGTTTCAAGCCCTGAATATTAAACCATCAGCTGTATGACTAGCTCTTTGGTCGCTACCAGGCAAATCAGTCAAGCTTCAGGATTGCACCAGGCACTTGAGACGGGAGGAGACTGTGTGACTCAGCTTTGGTTGCAGCATCCGCCTGTGGCAGCTGATGTGGAGACAGCTGATCACAACAAAGCCATTGTCCTCAGCATGGTGGAGCAGTTGCAGCACACCTCAGAGATGCTCCCTGCTTAAAACAAGCTCACAGCTTCAAATATGTCCCCATCCCACCTAAACAATGTCAACAGAGTAGACAGGGTGCTTATCTGAGAAACTCAAAAATTGTGAAAATCTTCCAGGAAGGAACAGGCAAATTGGCTTTCTGGGAAAAAGTGTCCAAGATTCCCTCTGGAGATACTCAGAGCTCCCTGTCCTTGTGACATTCTGTGACCAGGTTTGCCACTGAGAACCAGACTCAGACCTCTTGGAGGTAGCACATTAGAAGAACCCCAGCTCTGAATGAGCACTCCTCCCCTCAACCACCGCCATGTACTAGTAAAACAATTCTCCCTCCTCCCCCTATTTTGATGTAAAAATTATCTACCTCATTAGTTTAACATCTTTATGCATCTTAAAAATTCAGGGAATAATTTTTAAAATAGTAACAACCTAAAAGACTTTAAAATGCTGTAGAAGAATAGATATACTGTAATCACTATATTTCAGACTATATATACTATAATCACTATATAAAAGATTGTACATACTGTAATCACTATATAGAAGACTATATATACTATGATCACTATATAAAAGATTGTACATACTGTAATCACTATATAGAAGACTATATGTACTGCAATCACTGTATAGAGGACTATACACATATAATATATATAATGTAATCATTGTATAGAAGACTGTACTACTGTGATCACTGTAGAGAACTATATGTACTGTAATCACTGTATAGAAGACTGTATATACTGTAATCACTGTATAAAGGACTATATATACTATAATCCTATATAGAAAACTATATGTACTGTAATCACTGTGTAGAAGACTATATCTACTGTAATCACTATACAGAAAACTAAATATACTGTAGTCACTACATAGAAGACTATATGTATTATATATTCTGTTCACAAACATTTTAATAACCTGTAAAAATTATCTTAATATAACATTAAAATCATAAAGATAGGCTAGAATATAAAAATATGATCTCAGATTAAAAACGCAAATAAGAAAAAGAGAAGAACAATTGGAAAACTAATAATAGGAAGGAGATGACTAAAACTGTGTCCCTTTTAATTCAAAGCATAAAGCAATAAAGTGAAATATGATTTATAAAGTATATAGTTAGTGTCCTGCAAATATTTGTTTCATAGACAAATTCAACACAAATATAATAGTTATTTCTAAAATAAGTTAAAATAGTGACAGCTTATTCAATAAATGGTTCTCAACCTTCCTAATTCTGACCCTTTAACACATTTCCTCATATTGTGGTAGCCCCTATCCATAAAATTATTTTGTTGTTACTTCACAACTGTAATTTTGCTACTGTTATGAATCATACTGTAAATATCTGATATACAGGATATCTTATATGCAACCCCCAAAGGAGCCACAACCCACAGGTTGAGAACCACTGGCTTATTGCTACATACCTCAGGAAAGATGTTTTTAATTCTCTCAAATATATTATTTATTATTTATCATGTGCATACAAAATATACAAAATTATTTCACTGAACAAATTATAAGAAAATTAAAACAATCCGGTTTTAAAAGGTAATAAAATGTAGATTAGAGTTCAAGTTCAAATTTTAAGCAGCAGAAAGATGGCTGAGGGATAAGAGTGCTCAGGGCTCTTCTGAGGACTCATGTTCAGTTCTCAGCACCTACGCAGGGCAGCTCACAGTTTGCCTCCACAGTTACAAATGCTGCAGCGCCCTCTTCTGGACTCCTCCGTGGCACCTGCACTCATGTGCACACACCAATATCGTGCACGTGCGCGCGCACACGCGCGTGCGCACACACACACACATCTAGACGCTGGATTTTAAAATAATAAAAATTAATATCAGAATGACCTCTAGAACCAGTGAGAAAATTTTAAAGAAAAAGAGTGGTCTTCATATTTCTTCAGTTTTAAAACAAGCAAAACACATAGACACACACACAGAGACAAAAAGATTTGTATATATCTTACACTGACACAACATTATTCTAAGCCAGTTTTGTTCTATTTGATTTTAGCTTCTGTTTTTGTTTGTTTGAGGCAAGGTACCCCCTAGCTGGCCTCAAACTCACAATATAGACCAAGCTGGTTTTTAACTAGAGAGGCCTTCTCACCTTGGTCTCTCAAGGACTGGGATTACAGGTGTAAATCATGCCCAGTTGCCCAACCATTATTTCAATTCGTGCTACAATTAGTAAAATAACAATGAGTACATTTTCCATTTCATTGTGAGCCACAGCTTTTGACAAGGTAGTCAAATGTGTCAACAGAGTCAGTGGAATACTTACCTCCTATAAGGCATAAGCTTATAGTGATCACTACGACGAAACACAGGAAAATGGTGACAATGACCATCCACAGTTTACATCGTCCAAACACCATCTTGTTACAGGGACTCCAGGGACTTTCCTTGTCCGACTAGAAAGTAAAGAGAGATTATGAGGTAGTCATTGGGTTTCGACAAATAGTATCAAAGTCCAGCTAGAGACCAGTAACCCAGAATTAAGGTCATCAGTCATCTGGCTCTTAACCTCACAGGTTGCACTACACTGAATCAAACTAAGAACAGGGCAGAATAGAGCCTCAAGAGGAGGTTAGTCAAAGGCCCTCTGGGTGATCTGAAGGGGAGGCAGGATTTTTGTTCTTGAAGTTTTAAATTTTTGTATTCTTTTCTTTTCTTTCATTTGTTTCTTCTTTTTCTTTCTTTCTTTCCTTTCCTTTTTTTTTTTTTTTGGCAGGGTTACTCTGTGTAACAGCCCAAACCAAACCTTCCTGGAACTCCTTTTGCAAACCTGACTGGCCTTAAACTCACAAAGATCTGCCTGCCTCTGCCTCTCAAGCCCTCAAGGTGCTGGGAGCTGGCTTTAAAGGCATGCACCACCACTGCCTGGCTTGTATTTATTTATCACTCACATGAATATATTTATGGAGTTCAAAGAGATAGTTCCAAACCCACGTGTCAGGTATAATGGTAGATCCATCAGCTCCAATGTTTATTATTTCTTTTGTGTTAGGAACATGTAAACTCCTCTCGACTACCTGCTTTAAAATGTACAGGTCATTGTCAACCATCGTTTCTCTACCGTGCTACAGAACGTTGCTCCCCATCCCGCTGTTCCTTTCCCTTGCTGGGATAATGATGTTTCTGCTCTCTGCTTCTGTAAGATCAACATTTCAAACTTTAGCGTACAAGTGACAATGTGATATTTGTCATTGTGTATAGAAGAAAGGGGGTTTGAAGGTATTAAAAACCCAGAAAGCAGCATTTGCTGATTCATAACAGAACTACCTAAGGATTGGGATGAGGTGCAGAAAGAGACAGGAAATTGAGATTAGAGTGAAAAAGCTATCGCCTACAGCAAAGCAGCTGGGTGTTAGCTTTAACAAAACTTACCGCGAAGATTTATTTGGTCTAAGGTTTAATATTTGCTATTCATGGTTTGGGCCCATGGTCAGCTAACTCCATGGCAGAATACCACAGCTGAGGGAATGTGAGGCCATTCACCTCACAGAAATCAGAAAGCAAAGAGAAAATATGTCAAAAGAGTTGGGCACAAAACATAACTTTCCTGGACAAACCCCAAAGAATACTCTCTCCTAGTACACTCTACCTCCTAAAGTATCCAGTATTTTGCAACCATGCCATCAAATTATGAATTGGGTTTTAAGAGATGGCTCAGGGATTAAGAGCACTCGCTGTTCTTGCAGAGGACCCAGATTCAATTCCCAGAATCCACATGGTAGCTTACAATTGTTCATAATTCCAATTCCAGGGTACCTGATACCCTCATGCAGATATATATGGAGGCAAAACACGAATGAACATAAATAAAAACTTTTAAAAAGAAAAAATATGAATTGAGCAACAGACAAGCCCGTAAGTAAAGTCAAACCCCTCAGGATCCAATTATTTTCAAAAAGCCTTATCGCTGTACATTGTTGCATTTGGAAAGCAATCCTTAAACACAAGCCTAGAGTGATGGCTCAGCTCCAACAGTTGAGGGTTTGAGTGCTGTTAGGGTTAGTTGGATCTAATTTGCTGTGCACCACTGATCTGCTGAGAGGCCTCAGGCGGGTTCTTCCACAAGGTGCCTTCTATATATGCTTGCAAACTCCAACTTACATTCGATGATTGCATTAGACAGCAGTGGAATTTCCAAGACTTTTCTATGCATACTCTACAAGAGATCCACCACCTCCCTGGGCAAGCTACTAAGCACGTGACATTCATATATGTTGGCAGGATTATCTATCTCTGGTCCAAAAAGCTTGTCTTCTTCTTGGCTCAATTAAGAGCAGTTATTGTAAAGACTGGGGGGAAACCTGTCGGAACACGGGAGAGTCTGCACTTCTACCTCTTCACTGTGGCATTGACTCTAAACACACTTTTCATCCAAACACAAAAGAATCGGTTGATTCTGGTCCTCCATTGAACAATGCATGGCAATTGGGTTAATTTGTTAGCTCAAATAAGCCTTGGTTGCCACAGAACACTCAGTTTACTTGGTTATTGTTAATACAATGAGGATGCCATCATTTAAGGCATCTCTAGATTGCTGAGTCAGGGCCCTAGTGGTGAGCCGTAAAAGAAATTCAGAATCACCTTATCACCTACAATTTCTTTAATAATTTTTGCCCAGGGATATCAACCTATGGTAACAGTTGACAAAGAAGAGATCAATGGCTCACATTCCTTTTCCTCTACATTACAAATCTAGATTAAGGAGGGAAGAAAAATTCTTCACATACTCTCCTAACTCACCTTTTCCAAGCAGAAAGACACTTACAGTAATGAGGTGCTTACGATCTCAGTGCTATTCCCTGCCCATCTTCCACCTGCAATTCCCGCTCATCAGCCAGATCTGCCACTCTGGTCCTCATACGTCATTAAAAATATATTACCTAACTGTATATATTTATTAGTAATACAATTTGTAATTTAGGCAACTATAAATGAAATGATATAAATCAAGTCACATGTATTTATCTATGCATGATAAGATCAGTTAGCAGGGACCAGCAAGATGGCTCAGCAGGTAAAGGCCCTTGCAGCCAAGCATGGCACCCTGAGATAATCCCTGGGACATGCATGGTAGAAGGAAAAAATTGACTCCAGAAAGTCATCCTCTGATTTCCATATGTGCAGCATAACACATGTACATACGTACATACACACACACACACAGGCAGTAAATGCAATATTTTCTTAAAATTGATTAACAGCATAGACCTTGAGACCTTGGATCCCGGGGTCTTCAGGGGGGCTCCACTAAGAGAACCTGAGCAGTTTGGCTGCATCTCAGAGCCTACGTTTTTTTGTTTTTGTTTTTTTTGTTTTTGTTTTTTTGTTTTTGTTTTTTTTGTTTTTATTTTTTTTTGGTTTTTCGAGACAGGGTTTCTCTGTGGTTTCGGAGCCTGTCCTGGAACGTTTTTTTGCACTTAGTTCTTTCATCTGTCAAACCGTGGAAACTAGCATCCCTCCTCCTCTCCCACTCCAGTTTCGTTTCTGTCACTCTAATAAAACACTCTGAGCAAAAGCAGTGGAGGGGAAGAAGAAAGAAGAAAGGGCTTGTTTGGCTTATCCTTCCAGGCCACAGGCCATCACTGGGGGAAGCCAGGGCAGGAGCTCAAGCAGGAACTTGAAAGAGAGTCCACGGAGGAATGCTGTTGGCTGGCTCCCACACTCACCCATGCTTAACCAGTTTTCCTATTGCCTAAGGACTACCTCCCTGGGAATGGTAGCCCCCACAGCGGCCTGAACCCTGCAATATCAATGGACAATCAAGACAATCCCTTGCAAACGTATACCAACTCGATACAATTACTCAATTGAGACTCTCCTGTCGGGTGATTTTAGGTTGTCTCAAGTTGTTTATGGTAACTAGGACAGCTCCTTCTAAGTTGGTAATAATTAACCGCATTTATGTGTTATGGTATTTCACATAAGACAGGTACAAAGCATAGAGTATGGAGAGAAGAAGGACTTAAAGAAGCATCAAAGTCAGAACCTATTATCACACAATTTAAGACCTGAAACCTGGACTGGTGCAAGTCAGTCCTTACTGAACCCCATTAATTGACCTCTCATGCTGAAATGCATTTCCACCTGTTCTACAGAACCAGAGGACGATTGACATATGGCAGGGGGTGAGGTTTTGTCCACCCTCTCCTTCCTAAAATGCCACCATTCAAGTATCTCTAGAAGGCCCTTCAGGTTCTAAGGGAGCCCGTCACCTTCCCTCCATTTCATGGGTCACTGAAACTTCACTGCATAGTGACCTACAAAGCCATATTACAAGGAAGTCAGCACATCTGTACCATCTGACTAACAAGGAAGTCACTAGGACCTTGAAAGCACAGTCTCCACAAGACAGGTGCTCAGCAATTATAAAATTCTAATGCTCAGCATGGATGTGGCGTGTTCTCAACTGTTGTCCATGGGCAGCCCAGGGCTCCCAGAAGCACATGGAGCCTATGATGTTATATAGCTTCACAGCCTTGTCCCAGCTCATGCCTTTTTTTTTTTTTTCTGGAGAATGATTAAATCTTTGGAGTTGTGCTGGGCCTGACTGACTTGGGGCTATTAGCTCTAATTCCTATGCCCAGACCCTGCCCTAGAGAATTATACAGAAAGTTCCTGGCTTTGGCTACCTGCACTTGCCTTCAGCCATATTATCCAAACTTCATTCATCTGTGAACCCAGTTCATACAAACCTAAGGTGCCAACTTCTTCTCCAAGGTACTTATGAAATAAGATATTGCCACTCTGTTTCCAGGAATCACTGTGGGCCAAGAGTAAAGTTTTCACGCTTTGAGTTTTGTACTAAAATCAGCACTTGGGCACAAGAGGGATGAAGGTGGAGTGGGGTGGGAGAACGCAGGCTAAAGATGCATCCTGAGAGTTGAGTGAGCCCAATAAAACTCAGCTAACCTTAGGGGTTACTCAGAAGACAGGTCGCTCAGAATTCAAGCTCTCTGATGTTTTACAAGTATTTGATCTGCGGATAAAGTTCAGCCACTGCCGTGGCTGAATCAGAAGAGTTTAACAACCTGCACACCCCCAAGGACTTCCTCCGAGATGAAAAGACAGCAAAGTTATTTCTGAGATAAAACTTTGATATTATTTCCCCTTTTCTGAGCCGGTAAATTCACCAGGGCCAACCCTCAGTTGGACTGCAGTTCTTTTCTCCTCGTGTTCTTTGCCTATCTCTCTTCCGGAGGAAGCAACGACCAATGTAGATGAAAATAGTGTGTTTGAAGGTGGGGGAGGGCGGAGGTGGTAGACAGTAGGCCCCCAATGGTGGTGGTTGTGATGGGGAAGGGAGAGGAGGGAGAGATGGGAAACAGGGAGAGAGCACATATGATTCAATCCATCACTCTCTATATTTGTGAAAAAAAGAAAAAACAATGTTAAAAATTCTAAACTACCTCTGCCTCCTAATCGTCCCTCTTCATTGAAAGGAGCAGCCACGCCCCCATTCCAAGTTTCCTGAAGAGTCTCTATGTGAGGTCCCTGTAGTGGAGGGGTCTAGGCTAAGGCATTTTTGCTTCCTTTAGCCTGCCCCCCTCTTTGTGCGTCCTGGACGCTAATAGGGAGGAGCCCTAGCACTCTAAAACGGTGTCAGGCCCCTTTCCTGCTGTCACAGGCCGCCAGAGCCCCAAGTCCTTACCTGGGCTGGGCTAGGGCTCTCGGCGGAGGAAGGCTGAATCTGGACGCTGAGAGGCGTCTGTTCTTCCTGCTCCCTCTCCAGCTCCAGCGTGGAGAGCTCCAGCTCTTCCCGGGGCGATGGGGCTCTGCCCTCTTCCATGGCAGCGCAAAGGACAGACGCTCTCCGAGAGGCAAGACCGAGGCACCTAAGGGTGCAGAGTCCAAGACAGGGAGAGTCCTCAGCTCACACTCCACCCACCTGGAGCGGCAGGTAGACCTGGGGCGGCTCCAGATCTACCTGTGGTGGCTGGCCTGGAGGGAAAGGGCGAAGCCAGGGAGAGGAGGCTCTCTGGCCTTGGACAGCTGACCTTACCCCGGAAAGGTAGTGGCGGGTGGGACCCTGCTGCCTTGGGCTCCACAACAGAGGAGGGCTGTTTTTCTGGTTTGTTCAGGGTGCTGCCTGCGACGCATTTCCCTGTGGATGGACCCAGACTGGATCACATGGCCTGACTGCAAACTGGACTGTGGCAAGGAAGGGATAGGCTGGGTTGGGGGGCGGGGGCGGGGATGAGGGGATGGAAAGGGGGGGGGGGGGGGATGCAGTTCCCAGTGAGCCTTCTCCCAGACCACTGTGTTGCTGAGACTTTTTCAGTTCTCACTGTCTAGCGAGGGTGCTCATCTACCGAATCAACAAACAGGCATGAATAATCTGTGTGTCGGGCAGCCTGCTGGGTTGTGAGCACAGGAAGATGAGTGATACCCAGCAGCACAATTCCCCTTGCAAGCTGATTCAGCCGTAGGGGCAGTGCCAGTATCGCTGATAGTACTTAGTTAGGACAGCCTATTTGAGAAGTAGCGACGTGTTAGTTCTCCACTCATAGGGTGTTACTGGGGCTGGGGGGTGGGGGGTGGGGGGGTAAGACAGTGACCGGCCGAAGCAAGGACTCGTAAATGTTACTGATTTACTCATTACTGTTTATCTTTGAGAGGAGGGGCCATAAACACACCCCACCTGGGGGATAAAAAGCACAGGGCCCGTGTCGGTAAGCACACCCATACACACAATGCCCTCCACACCCTATGCATAGTTTACAACTGGCTTAGTGAGTCTGAATTACGTTTGTACGTGCACCAAAGTGTGGTTTGGGTGTTGGTCCAAAGACCTTGCCTCTCAACCTTCTGTGTAAGTCATTGCATTCCCTCATTCCGTTCCCCCGACAGACACAATTACTAAGACCAATCTGCCTACTCTAGAAATCTTGGGAATATATTTAAGTGTTGGGGTCCATCCCAGGTAAATGGTCTACCCCTGGGTTACAGCCCTCGGTACCAGACAGATGCTGTTATTGTGATGCTTATCCTTAATCCCAAGGAAAGTCTTCTAAAACATCAAAGTATGTTCTGTGAACTGGAAATATTCATGATCTCAGGGTAGTCAGAATTTTCCAATCATTTTTACTAATTTGGAAAATAACCCATCCTGTTCTCTCTCCTTTCATTTTTGAATTTTCTCTACAGTTCTATGCAGTATTATTAGCCCTATTTAATAATAGTATTGTTATTTCTCCTTGGACTTTGTTTAAGGGAAAATAACACTTTTTCTTCCATTTTATTTGTTTGGTGCTATGGTTAATTCTGGACTCTGACAATGAAAATATTATCCTAGGATATAGAAGCTCTCTAAATTAAGGTAAATCAAGAACTAGAATGTGTTGAGCAAATACTGTGGACATAGATATTCAAATCATTACTAACTTTAAAAATAAAAGAAAATCTTGACAATTTAAATTTTACTAAAACAATCAAAAGCCAGGAGATAACATACCTGAAAAGTTTGACCTTCAGAACACTTACCAAAAATGCCTCTGGGCTTTTGCTGTTGGCCACCGTTATCAAGATCAAAATTCCACAGATGTATTTCCGTCCACCTCTGACTGACAGTTTTCTACCACTCTAGTGAGGATTGCAAACCTATAGTCTTGTGTGGGGGTGGATCCATGCTTAGTTTTGTGCACAGGTAGATTAGTTTCTCCGTATACAGCATGCCCCTCTACAGCCATGGTCCAACATGATGTGGGCAGAACAAATTGGACTGGAAAGCAACACCGTCTCTTCCTCCTCTGCCAATTACTGAATTTTGCCTTATGTCTCTTTGTGAGATACCACTATTTTGTGCATTGAATTTCGTAGGAACACTAACAGTCAGGTAAGGGCTTCCCTGGAATATCTTAGCTGTGTACTGTATTTGTCTCCATCCTTGCAAGCATCTCCACTTGCACTGGAACACACAAGAAAGACACCTATCTTTGTTCTCATTTTACTTTAGAAGCTTGGTTTGTGACAATATTTAAGTTTTCTTCCATCTATGAATTAATAACATGTTGACACCTTAGAATGAATATCATTACATCCTTGGGAAATTTTTATGGAATACATATTAATTTGTTTACCTTGCAATGAATATCAGATGAGCTTAATCTGACATTTTTGGTTGAAAAATAGGATTAATTTTATTGATGATAATTACATTCTTTTTCAAGAATAGACCACACAAATCAGTTAAAAATCCAACTGGTACAGTTACAAAAGAGAAGGAACATATTTATGGATCCAGGGAACAAAGTTTGACACCCTTGTGTAAACACCAGGAAAATTTGGTCTTCCACATCCATGTCCCCAGCTGACAATGCCGGTCAGAATCCATTTTCCATCACTCTTTCTTCGACAAGACAAGGGTCCACCTGAATCTCCCTACACAAAAAGATAACGTGAACATGAAGGCATGTGTCTCATGAACACCAAGTCCAGCATTTAGGTGTCAGATACATTGTGTTCATTCCAACATGGTTTTGCTTGTGTGACCACTAGGAAGGAGAAAGCAATTCTCACCAATCTTCAAAGAATTAACTACTAGTAGTCATTTCAGCAGCAAAAATAGTAGCAATCCTAGGGGCTGATATCTAATTAGTGATGGCTATATGCCCAGTAGTGTCTGGGTTCATTTCATTATCGTACAAATCATGGAAGACTGACTTCCATTTGTGAACTATTCAGCTTCAGCAGTTGGCTCATTGGCCCAAGGCGAAAGAAGAAATGACTTAGTCATCCACATCGACTTACGTCACCCCAAGAGCTGCTGGCTGCCAACTGTTTTCATATAAGAATGCCTCTGACATCTCAGTTCCACAGAGCAAAAGCTATAATAATTTAAGGGTCAAACAGTCCCTACATCATGGATCTTTAAGTGTAATATCTGGGGTTTTGTGTCTCTATTTTGGAGGGTGGGTAAAGTTACAGCTTGGATATGAAGGTAAGATAGTATCCCCTGAATCACCATTCAAAAATTTCATAACTCCTTAGGTAGATTCTGACTAATAGAGAAATTGGGTCATTGTTGTTGTTGCCAGCTCTATAGGTCTGATTTAATGCCCAATCCTGTGCACTTGTGTAGAACACAGCTATCTAGTTGGCCAGGAACAATGAGCACTTGAAGTACAGTAGCGTTAGGATTAAGAAAGGAAAGGGCTCCCATCCCACCAAGACACTCACAGTCACTGGCTGTCTAACCTGGAGGGAGGGACTCTATTTATGCTCTGCTGCTGTAATAGGAGCGGCGGGGCTGCGTCCCCGGCACCTGGCCACCCACATGGCTAGCTTATGCCCCGAAAAAACAACACACAAACTGTATTCATTTAAACACTGCTTGGCCCATTAGTTTCAGTTTCTTATTGGCAAGCTCTTACATATCCATCTAACCCATTTCTAATAATCTGTGTAGCTCCACGAGCTAGTTTACCAGGAAAGATCTTAACCTGCTTCTGTCTGGAGTGGGAGAATCATGGCGACTCCCTGACTCAGCTTCTTTCTCCCAGCATTCTGTTCTGTTTACTCCGCCTACCTGTGTTTTAACCTATGAGGGCCAGCCAAGCAGTTTCTTTATTTTTTAACCAATGACCTTCCTCCATCACTCTGCTATAGAATAAGGGTAAAAAGGGTGATGTGAAGGAATTTATATGCAGGACCTTGCCCAGTACTTGCTGTATCAGTATAATAAGATGAGGTGCTAGCATTGCAACTAAAGTCGGCAAGATGTGGAAAGGCCCCCACTGCTCTTTGTACTCATTGTACATCATGAAGGGATCTGCACTGATTGGAATTAAAGGCTCAAGGTGGTATCCTACAGCTATCCTCGCTGCTCCCAGGGCAACCGTGGAGCCTACATGAGTGTGCTCTGACTCAGCCTCCTTCCTCTTCTCTTCCCCAGAATATGCATCAAAATGAACCCTATAGTTTTGGTGCTAAGGGAACAAGCACTGAAGCACTGTGGGTGTATCTATGTGTGTATGGTATTTTCTTTCTATTCTTTTATTTTTAAATAAATTTATTTATTTATTTTACATCTCAGCTGCAGTTTCTCCTCACTCCTCTCCTTCCAGTTCCTCCCCTCAGCCCCCTTCTGTTCCCACCTTCCAGTCCCCTCCTCCATTTCTGTTTAGGAAAAGGCAGGTCTCCCATGAGTATAGACAAAACATGGCATAACAAGTTGCAGTAAAACTAGGCACCTCCCCATGTATTAAGGCTGGTGAAGGCAACCCAGTATGAGGAGTAGGGTCCCAAAAGCCAGTAAGAGTCAGAGACAGCCCCTGGTCCCTATGTTAGGAGTCCCACAAGAGACTCATGCTGGAGAAGATGTGGAGCAAGGGCAGCATTCTTCCATTGCTTGTGGGATGCAAACTTGTACAGTCACTTTGAAAGTCAGAGTAGTGATTTCTCAGAAAACTGGAAATCAATCTACCACAAGATCCAGCTATACCACTCTTCAGTATATACCCAAAGAATGCTCCATCATACACAAGGACACTTGCTCAACTGTGTTCACAACAGCTTTATTTGTAATAGCTAGAATCTAGAAACAACCTAGGTGTCTCTCAGCCGAGGGATGGTTTTTAAAAAAAAATGTGGTGCATTTACACAATGGATTGCTACTCAGCTGTTAAAAACAAGGACACCAGGAAATTTGAAGGCAAATGGATGGAACTAGATAAAACAAACTGTCCTGAGTGAAGTAACCCGGACTGAGAAAGGCAAACATGGTGTGTACTCACTTATAAGAGGATGGTAATTTTTAAAAGCTGTTCTTTCTCCATGTTTCCCTGGTCTTAGGCAACTGAATCATAATTAGCTTCTGGGCAATTCAGATGAAGGAAGGACAAGGCCTGCCCTAGATAACCCCAGTATTGTGTAGATGAAATGTCAATGTGTTTACAGCAAGCACGACATGCTAGGCGAGGGGAAGGCGGAAGACTTACTTTGCAAGCATCGCTCTTGCCAGACATAACCCCTGCACAGAGCATCCGGGAAGTGATGATCCCGTAGGTGGAAACACAGACGGTTTGATCAATGAGCTCTACCTCTGCTTGCTGCAATACAGGGGAGCCTTTCTTATCTGAAAGACACATGGAGGATGGAT